ATAATGATTGAATAATAATATTTAATTTTATTTCTTTCAAATATTTTGTTATATTTTATTTTTATTTAAATATGATAAAATAAATTTATCTAATTACTATATATTTTTCAAATTAAAAATATAATAATAATTTTGTGTTTTTAATATATTTTAAGATTTTAAAAAATTTTCTAATTATATAATAAATTAGTTTCAAAATTTAATATTATATAATTAAATACAATAAAATTATTATTTAAATAAATTATTATAGTATAAAATAATATTTTAATATCAAGCATTATATGTTTTTTTTATTATATTATATTTGTAACAATAAAATAAAAAAATAATAATTAACTAGTTTATATAAGAAAAATGAAAAATATAAAATTATAATTCTCTTTTTTATAATTCGTAATATTAAATTATAACAATATGCAATTATAATATATAATTGCAAATAAATAAGAATAATTAAAAATATAATGTTTGCAACATACGCATGCGTTGATTAATAAAATTTCAAGGTAGTTTTTAATTAGCTACATGACATTATATTCGCTTAAAAAAAAGTGTCGTAAAGTTTTTAAAAACAACTATACATCATTATTGGTTTCTATATTTTAATCGGTTGTTATATATATATATATAGATATGATGAACTTTGTTTATTAAGTTTAATTGAAATTAAAGTACGCGATGGTACAAGAACTCGAAGTTAAAAACAGGAGGTTATCTATCAACAAAAAAACCGCCATAATTGATTGGATTGATTATGTTGATCCATCGATAAAATACGATGAATTTTTTTCTAAATATTTAATGGAAAATAAACCTTGTATTTTTAAATCGAATATAACAGAAAATTGGTCGTGTAAGAGACAATGGAATTTGGATGGTACTCCAGATTTTGATGTTCTTGATATATTATTTGGTAAATTAATTATAATTATGTATATATTATAAATAATTATAATTATATTTTAAATTATTTATATGTGTATTAAATCATATAAAAATTTTTTTTATAGGAGATTGTATAGTGCCAGTTGCAGATTGTAACAAAAAATATTATAATTCACAATCTAAGGATGATATGAAAATGAAAGATTATTTAAATTATTGGATAGATTATGCAAAAAACAATTATTCAGATTCTATGCCACTTTTGTATTTAAAAGATTGGCATTGTCCAAAATTATTTCCTAATGCTCCTATGTATACTGTTCCTGAATATTTTGCATCAGATTGGCTGAATGAATATTATATTGCAAATCCTAATTTGAATGATGATTATAGATTTGTTTATATGGGACCAAAAGGAACATGGTACATATTTTTTAAACATCAAATTATTAATTTTAAATATTATATAAATAAGAAAAACTAGTTTTTATTATAGGACACCATTACATGCAGATGTGTTTGGATCCTACAGTTGGTCTGCTAATATAGTTGGAAAAAAACGTTGGTTACTTTTCCCTCCAGGTCAAGAAGATTTTCTTAAAGATATACACGGACAATTAACATATGATGCAACATCAAAAGAACTTAATGATTATACAAGATATAAGGCTTATGATAAACGTGTATTAAAATATATTGATATAATCCAACAGGAAGGAGAAATTATATTTGTACCATCTGGATGGTATCATCAAGTCTGGAATATAGTAAATATATTTAATTATAATTATTTCTGTTTAAAAAATTATCTATTTATTATAATATTTATTTGTAGGAAGATACAATTTCTCTTAATCATAATTGGATAAATAGTTGTAATATTATGAATGTGTGGCATGGATTAAAAAAAGAATTAAATTCTGTTATAAAAGAAGTTAGTGATTGTAAAGATATGAATAATTGGGCAGAACATTGTCAATTAATATTAAAATCTACATATGGAATGGATTATAATTTATTTTTTGATTTCTTAACATTTATTACTAAACAACGTTTAAATATGGTTTTAGACAAAGAAAATGTAATAAGCTTTAATAAATATAAACTTGGATTTAATCATTGCATATTTGATCTTCATTCAATAAAATTGACATTGATAGATTTTATTAATGATATGGAAGAAAAATCTATTTATTATTTAATTTGTGAAAAACAACAAGCTCATAAATTGTTAAACAAAATTTTATTATTTCTTCAATCACATGATTCAACTGAAAATTTATCCACATGATAAAAGATATAAAATCTAAAAATAAATAAAAAAATTGTTCTGTTTATATGTAAATACTATGTAAATATTATGATGTAAATAATGTGATATATATTATGAACAAATTTTTATATAATTCTGTAAATATCGAAAATACATAAATTATAAAACAAAAATTTTTTCTAGTTTATTTACTACTTTTATTACTCATACTTCAATTAATCAATTTATTAATCGCTATTAAAAAAAAAAGTGTATATTATAAATATTATATGCATTTAAGAAAGATTAAAAATATAAAATTCCAAAAGATAGATAACAATTTCTAACTAAATAATTCTAAAATATAAAATATTTTTTATGTTATGTTTATATTAACTAAATTTTATTAGTTTCATTTAAAATATAAATAGTATAAATTAACTGAATTATTTGAGACAAAAAAATTAATTTTTAATATATATTTTAATATATATCATGTTAATAATAATATCCTATAGTAAATATATCCTTTTGTTTATAATTTTAAAAATATTTTATTTTTTATTTAAAAATGTTTCAACATCTAACATATAAATATAAAAATACGACAATGTATTAAAGGAAATGTGACCTACAAATTTTCAACATTTTGAAGTAAAAAATGTTAGTAAATAGTTTCATCAGATAATTAGATAATTTTTGCTAATTTTTTAATTTCTAAGAATATGAATTATTTTTAAATAATTTATATTAATATAAAGTATCTTTACATTTAAAAAAAGAACAATATTTTTTAAATTAATTATTTTGCTAGTTTTATGGCAAATTGCTTTATAAAATGCAAAATTCTATTATACTATATTCAACAATAATATAATCTTTTTACGAATATATCTTATTTTTTTATAGGAATTTTAAGTACTAAAATAATAAATGTCTATAAATCTTTTTTATATTGTCTTATGTCTTACAAATTATGAGTGCATAAATGTATATATATATATATATATATATATATATATATATATTGTACAATTATGCACAATTTATAATTAATAAAAATATACAAAATGTATAAGATATGTATAAATGTTAATATATATATTATCTGTAAATATAAATAATTGTAAAAACTTATTAGCATTCAGTGAAAAATGTGTACATAGCACATTTGTTTCTTTTAAATCAATAAAATAAAATTACAAAGTAAATTATATGGGATTATAATATCACACTATTATTATATAATATCTTTAAATTATATTTTATATAAATTCTCTCCTTTTCTCTCTCTCTCCTCTCTCTCAGTTTTGTGCATAATTACGAATTGATCATTTTTCAAGTACGATATATAAGGATTTGCTTATGCAATTAATTGAAAAAGAAAAAAAATATGATAAAAATAGATATTATATTATGATACTTATATTATTTCTTATATATATTATATATTATATATATAAATTCTATTTATAATTTAAAAAAAAAAACTATTATTACATAAAGGAAATATTTTGTTCCATGTGAAAATAATAGTTACAAATTCTATACTTAGTTTGATTGTTTAATACATATACATATATACAGATATATTTTCAACTTAAAATACATTTTATTTATGAAAAAATAATTTTTATCAATTTATTTTGAACGATTTTATGAACAAAAAATTAATTATTTTAATTCAATGTCATACAAATTTACAAATTCATCACATATATTTGTTTTAAAATTTAAAAGTTCATCGAAAAGTAACAAAAAATGTCTTCTATGAAAGAAGTTAATATATTTCTGTATGTTCTATTAAAAATTTATATAAAATATTGCACTGATGATACATTTGAAAAAAAAAGTATCTATATGTTATTATTTCATGTTAAAAGAAAAAGATTGTCATGGATAAAAGGTATAAAAAGGGCATATTACTTTAAATTATTTTCATATAAACTAATTTTCGGATGAAAAATAAGCAAATATAATTATGTATTTCATTATTTACACACACGCACACATGCATACGTACTATTGCATTTTCTCATAATTTTTTTCATAATTTCATATAGTATCAATGTTTGCTTGCATGGCAAGTACCTCTATTAGGGTATCACGTCTCACAAAGTCTTCTTATTAATTATCAACAATTAACACTGTTACAAAGATTAGACTCCACGCAACGTGATTTTGTATCAATTATCGAATGATGTTTTTTTATACCTATATAATAGATACATATTTTTCATTTTCACATCTCATACATTTTTAACATTTCTTGTGGAAATAGGAAATGGAATTGCACTCTAGAATAAACATCACAAAAATATTGAAGTTAAATGATAAATTCTTGCTATTTTTAATAGAAAGAATTTTTATAAAATTTATATAATATAATAAAAGATCATAATATTTGAATGAATTTTGTACCCATATGTACGTACCTATTTGTATATCTTCTTTAGATGAAATGAATTGCTTATAACAAATGATGAATAATATTGAAGCATGTATACAATATCTTTCACGATATAATAAATTAATCCAGCAGTATTTAGAATCGCACACAGTATTCTTATATTTTTTAATAACTGCTGAACCAAGCTGATTTCTTAACTTTCAAATATTTATCAATTCGTCTATTTAAATGCTCAAAAATATTAATTGTAACGTTTCTTCGATTTGATCATTATATTTTTTATATCGTGGGAGCTATTATAATAAAATTAACAGAAATCAATATTTCGATGTTATTATATTGTTTCTGTTATATAAAATATAATTGATAAATTATATGTCAAATATTTTGTTTAAAAAACCGATTTTTATAGAAAAGAATTAAAATTAAATTTTACTTTTTTTCCGATTCTAGAATATTATTTAAGAATTATATAGGATGTGTAGATAATGTTTGTAATGATACAGTTGGAGTTGTGGGTGTTGTTAAAACAGGAATTGGAGTAGAAGGCATTTGCTGATGTGTTTGTCTTGGTGGTGATAAAAGTTCTTGTCTATCTCGTTCTCTTTCTCTTCCTGGACGCCATGCTTCTAATAATGCTTCAACTCTTTCTTCAGTAGGTCCCCAACGAGCACTACCAGCTGCATTTTGTAACCATACAACTAATGTTCCATGTGCTGCTCTAATATTGACTTCACCTCTATAATAAAAAATGATATTCTATATATATATATAATATATATATATATTTTTTTTTTTTATTTTGAAAGATATTCAAATTAAAATATTGTAATTTACTTTGGTAATATGTGCTGGAATCCATGTCTATATTCATGTTCCATTGCAGGTACAACTACTTGTTTACGCTTAAAATGGCTACTTTCTAATTTAATAAGAGCATTAGGTGCTGGATCTCGCCATTCTGGTAAGAATACTACGAAAGATAAAGGTTCAGTAGAATCAGCCAAAAGACGTTCAAAATGATTGACCATAGCTTCCATAAGTTCTTCACAATATGGCGGATTAGCTTGAAATGAGCCGCTTACGGGTCTAAAGTCTAAAAAAGCTCCTCTTGATCCAAAATAAGAATCTGTATCAGCAAATGCTGAACAATATTGTCTAAAGTAACAATTTAATGGAGATGCAAAACATTCAAATGTTACACCAAATGATCGTTGAAGACATTCAAAAACTGTGACAGGGAGAGCCATTTGTGTTGCTTGTCCTTCATTGATTCCAAGATATGTTTGATAACGTTTTAACATACACCAAACACGAGGTAAAAACATTTCAAATTTCTTATCATCAAAACAATTGTATCTATACAGATGTTCTAATTTAGCAAGATGTATATTATTAATACACACAGTATCACCATGAAAACGCAACATTGTCTGTTCACGTTCAGGAAGATAATCCACTTGTGGAAGTCGAGGAGTAGGAAGAGAAAATTGCACAGGATAACACCAAACTTTTCTTTGTGCACTAGCTGGTCCTCCTAATGGTATAACATTTCCTAAACCATTATCCTTTAATATTTGATTATTTTTATCTTTAACTTTTTTTGCATATTCTGTTGATAAATGATAAATTTTTAGACAGATACCCTCGACACTAGCTTTTACAGTCTCAGTAAGATGTGGTTGACATTGTCGTTTCAAGTGTGCAAGACGATCTTGGAAATCATCAAATGTAGCACCAACTGTTCGTCTCAACCACTGAAATGTATCTTCTGCATTCCATTTTACAACCTTTCTACTTTCTGATGAAGCTGCTCTTGATTCTATCATTTTTTTTGCAGCTTCCGCATATCGTGATAATTGTTTTCTTGCATCACCAGTGAATTTTGGCCGGACTAATTTAATAGGGATGTCATTCATAATTTCACGATACATAGACATAGAAATTTCAGGGAAACACTGACTTGGTAAAAGAGGATCTGAACCACAGTCTATAACTTTTCTTTCCATTAACCATCTGTTAAAGGAATCTTTTGGAGCATCTATAGATTCACGAGTATGACACAATTCTTGATAGCATTGTCTCAGTTTTGCAAGTAAACCACAACGTAATGCTTCTGCTTCAGGATGAACATGAGGTAAATTTGAAGGAGCCCTTTCATATATTATAACATTTGTTGGAATTTCCAAATCCCATGGTCCTCTATTGTTAAAAAAAATTATAAAATATATATTAAAAATATTTTTAATATAATACATAAAAATAATAATAAATTAAGACAATTTAACATACGCTAATACAAATTTTTTTGCAGCAGGAACAACACTATCTTCAGAAGCTCGGCGTTTAAGTGCTCCTCCTGAAGGAATAGTTCCATTTCCAGAAGCAGGTTGTACACCACAAATGCCAAGTGGATCCGTAATTGGATCAAACTTAAATATAGATAAAATTGACAGTTATAAGTTTATACTTTTATTAATCTATAATCAAATTTTATACCTTAGTACCTGAGGTTTCAGAGGTGGTATTACCCATAAAGATTCTCCAGTTAATTTATTCCAAAAATATGGACGATTCTCTCGTTTACTCCAAAATTTTTTCCATCCTTGTTGTTGAAGTTCAGGTGAAAGTTCAGATTCTGGAAATGTTCCTGGTGGTGTACCCTATAATTGAATAATAAACTAATTATGGAAAAAAATACTTTATTATATATATATTTGTATATTATATATATATATATATTTATTTATTTATTTAATTACTTTAAATTATGTTTATTTAAGTATTTAATTGATTTAGCCAAAAAATTTATGGAACATAAATATATGCTATATAAATTTATGTAATATATCAATAAATTGGTATTCTTTAATCTGACATAATGTGTTTTTTAATCTATATGTAACTCAATATAGTTAAGTTAATTTTTATTTAATTTTATATTTTTTAATTAATTATAATTATTGATAATTTAATTATTTAATTTCCTACAATATATTCTAATATATAGAAAATGAAATATTATATCTTATCTACATTAAATAAAAAATAAATATTGACTAATAGGTTAATATAAACTTTAATATGCATTGATACCTGTGTCATTAGACCCGATTGTTGTATATGACCAAGCTGTGAACAATGGTCAGGTATACTTTGTGTTGAACTTAATATAGGTGTCTGTAGTTTTACAGGAGTAGGAACTATAACTTGTGCAACTGTTGGAGTTGTATCTTGTTGTAATGTTGGATGATGATGATGCATTGTAGATAATGAAGATGCAGGTTGGCCAGATAAAGTTTCCCAAGTAGAAGTATTTGGTATATCTTGTTTTCCTCCACTTACTTCATTCATTGTACTATGTACGCTTTGTTGAGTACTTCATCACATATAACATATATCATATGACACAATTATATTTTTTGATAAATATTTTATTATATATTTCATAAATTTAATAATATTCATATATTTTTTATTTATATAATATTTTACTTTAATATTTTTCAATAAAAATATTAATTAACATTTCTTGCATTTTATTTTTTAATATTAAAATATATTTTTACTTTATAAAATAAAAAATAATATAATTATAAATTTATTTATATATTTAATATTTACAAACTATTTAAATATAAATATAAAAAATGAAACTCGACATTTTAAAAAACTAGAACTTAAACTGTAGTAGAAAGAATTTTTATATCTTCAAAAAAAATTATTTTTTTTTTTTATTATATTATAAATTATAATAAAATGAATTAAATTTCAACTTTCTCTACTTATCTTTAATAAATTTACATGTATAAAAACATACAAATTATATGACAACATTTCGTAATTCAATGTTTGTTTACATGCCACCAAACCGTTTAATAAATTCATAATTTTTTGTAATATAAAATTATGCAAATTTACAAAAAACATATAATTGTTAATATAAGACTTACTAGTGATAATAACGTTTCCAATTTGTAGAAAATGTACAACAAAACTTAGAATTCATTCATGATTTGTGAGATTTGACGCAACGACCTCCACCCGTGAGATACCATTTGCTTGAACTGAAATTCTAACGATAGCAAAGTTAAAGCTTTCTTCACAATGAGAAAGGAATCCATACAAAAAGAAGAATATTCTACATTAACCGAAATATCAAAATAATATTAATTTATAAAAAATATTTGAACAATAATTGTTTTTATTTATATATATATATATTTATATATATATATATATATATATAAATATATATATATATATATATATATATATATATAAATAAGTACACATATTTCATCGTTTAAATTAATTAAATAATATTTTATCATTTTTATATTTTATTTTTTAGAAGATAATTTTGAAACATACGTGAGTTTTAAAAAAACATTAAAATATTAAGAAAAATAATAAAAATATTATAATCGAATAAAAAATTATGAAATGAAAAAAAAAAATAAATTTTATTCTTTAATTTAAATTAGAAAAAAGTTAGAAATAATAATATTATTATTCATTATTATACATTTTATAATAATACATACTTTATATTTTTTGTGCAATTAATATTTATATTATCCTTTCTATTACTTTTTTATCTACGGATTGCGCGGCCAAATCAAAGCAATATGGCGGCTTGACATAATAACTTTTAATACGGAATATATTATTTTGATTATAACGAAATAATCATTACAGAATCCAATTAAATTTCGATTTATATGAAAGTATATGAGAAAGTATCTTGTGCTATATAAATTTGATTATAACATATTTGCAAACCAAATAAAAGTAGAGATTTTTTAGTTTAAAACTGGATGTGCTTCCAAGATTTATTTTATTAATGGGTACAAAGATATCCTTAATTAATAAGTTAAATTAGTAATGTTATGTAGTAAGTTTTAGTATCAATTATCATCTTTCTATGAAGAATTATGTCGTCTACACAAAGCAAAATGAGAGGTACACAAATAGTATAGTTCAAAATAACCTTGTACTTTATATATTTTTGGCTTTTTTCTATCATTTTTTGAAATATATATAAATTATTTTTATTTATTTATAATTATTATATATGATACAAATTTTAATCAAATTTGAAATACTATAATTTTTTAAATATAGGTCCTGGAAGACCACCAAAATCAAAAAACTCTTGTACATGGTGTGGAGAAACTAAACAACCTTTAAAATATGTTCTACCAACACAACATGGAAAAAAAGAATTTTGTTCAGAAACTTGTTTATCTGAATTTCGTAAAGCTTATGTACGAGGAGCTTGCGTTCAATGTGACAATGTTATTAGAGGTACACCAGTGAGATTAGAACAAAAAGATGGACCTACAAAGGATTTTTGTTCTTCATTTTGTTTAAATAAACATCAAAAAAAAGAAGGACAAACAGATATAAAGAAAAGTTGGTAGTTTATAAAAATTTAAAAAATATTAATAAATCTTATATATATATTTATTAATGACTGTCTTATTTTAATAGCTAATAGGGACCAATCATCACCTGCACCATCTCTTACACCATCAGGATTAATAAGTGGAAATAATATTCCATCTACAACTCAGTCATTTACGAATACAAATCATACAAATATATCTCATTCTCCATCAACTTCCACTGGTCCATTTCAGTATGAAACTTATCAAACTTTTGATTGGGATCTTTACTTAAAAGAAACAAACAGTCAAGCTGCACCTATTGAATGTTTTAAACAGGTATTTGAATTATAAATATAAAAATTCAATTTCATGATTTTTTCATTAAGAAGAAAATTAAGAAGAAAGTAAAATATAATAATATTGAAATTATATTTTAGCATGAAATTCCACCAACTAATGAATTTAAAATGGGGATGAAGTTAGAAGCTCTTGATCCTCGTAATTTAACATCAACATGTATTGCAACTGTTGTTGGAGTTCTTGGTCCTCGTCTTAGATTAAGGTTGGATGGTTCAGATAATAAAAATGATTTTTGGCGTTTAGTTGACAGTAATGAAATTCATCCAATTGGTCATTGTGAAAAATCGGGTGGTATGTTGCAACCACCATTGGGCTTCCGAATGAATGCTTCCAGTTGGCCAATGTTTCTTTTGAAAACATTGAATGGTGCAGAAATGGCACCTGCAAAAGTATTTAAACGTGAACCAAAAACACCACGTTGTAATATGTTTGAAGTTGGACACAAACTGGAAGCTATAGATAAAAAAAATCCTCAACTTATATGCACAGCAACTGTTGGTGCAGTTAAAGATGATATGATTCATATTACATTTGATGGCTGGAGAGGAGCATTTGATTATTGGTGTCGTTTTGACTCTAGAGATATATTTCCTGCTGGTTGGTGTTTTAAAAGTGGTCATCCATTGCAGCCACCTAGACAGAAATGTAAGAATTATAACTTTCCTTTAAATTATGTTATTAAAATATATTTTTTACTAAGTAATATACATAAATATTTGTAGCAACAGGGCCTAATAGATTTAAGTCAAGGACAAGTAATGTCTTACCAGTAATGGCAGTATCTGGTGGAGGTACTAATGGAGAACCAGCTGTTGCTTTAGTAAGTCCAGCAGGTTCAAGTGCTCCACCACAACCAGCTACAGAACCTGATACTAGTACAGCTAATACCAAACCACATTCTTTAGGGAATGGTATGTCTTATTTCAATTAAATATCTTATTGTATGTTTGTATTTTTTTACATTTAATATTTTTATTATGTTACAGTTACAATTTATGTAAATCATAATTGCACATGTGGTCCTTATTTTGATCCTCGTAAAGTAAAGGCAATGCCAGCACAATTTGGTACTGGCCCTATTTTAAATGTTACAAGAGATATATTTCAAGCTTTTTTAATGGCAGCAATGAGTCCAAGACAAATGTTGAGTTTATTAAAACGCGGTGAAGGAGAAACTATAAGTTTAATTTTAGAAAGCAAACCTACTTCCGTTAGATTACCTATATTTATGGAAGAAGAAGATTTTTACACATACATTAGGCGACAACTTGAAGATCTTTGTGCATGTGAACATATGTTATTTAGAAGGAAAGAGCCTTGCAACAAATGTCCAAATAGTCAACAACCACAATCTACTAATAGTGAAGAAGTAGTTAATACTGCTACTACGACAAATAATAGTACTATTACTGCAGAAAAAAGAAGATGGTCTCAAAATCAACAAAATCTGTCATCAACTACTCAACAACAAACACAACAAAATTCTGTACAAAGTATAAACAATTCATCATTATCATCACCAACAGCTGCAAAACAACAACGAAAATCTGTTCCAGGTTAGTTTTATTTTTTTAAATAAAATTGTTATTGATAAATAATTCATTGAAGATCAAAAATATATTATTATAATTAGAGCTTGAAGCTGCAACATCAACTACTCAATCTGAAAGTTCTATGAATCGCACACCTTCTACTGAACCAGCAGAATGGACTATTGAAGATGTAATTCATTACATTGGTGTTACTGATCCTGCATTAGGACAACATGCAGATTTATTCAGGAAACATGTAAGAAACATGCACTTTATATTATTTCATATTTATTTTTTAGTATAGTGTTTAAATTGAGTAATAAATTCGTTTACATTTTTTCAAAATTATATTGAATATTACATTATATATTATATAAACTCTAATTATATAATTTTATTTTTTTTCTTGTTTTCTTTATTTTTCTAAACAATTATAAAATTTTCGTCTTTTTATAAAAAATTTAAGCACGTAAAATATCTTTAATTAATTCCATCTATGATATATATTTAATAATTATATTTGCAAAGATAATTTTTTTATTTGATGTATAATAATATTTTTTTTTGTAACCATTAGTAAATAAATAATAATAATAATAAATGAATAATAATAAGTAATAACATAAATAATAAGTAAGTTAATTCTAATGTTGCCATTATAAGATCATTATTATCATATGATTCGATTATAAATGATAATTATTTTCTGCTTACCTGTATGATCAAAATTAATAATAAAGTATGTATTTTACATATGTGCACTAATTTTTTCAAAGATATAACAATTGTTCAATGCAAACCAGTATATATATAATAGTATATAAATTCTTTTCAGTATATAAATAGATTTTCAAATCTATTTTTTTTTATATATTTTTTTCTTTTTTTACTTACTTAAAATAACTTTTAACTACTTACTAAAAATAAATTTTTGTATTTTATTTTATTCTAAAAGAAGATAAAATAGTACATTCTGATTAATTTGAATAAAAATAATTTGTATGAAAAAAATAATAAATGATATTTATAGATATTAAAAAAAATTCTTATCATTTTTTTTAATTTTTTAATTAAAAAAACTTTTTTTATTAATTAATTTTATTTTTATTTTTATTTTTATTAATAATATTTAATATAATTATATTTAATATAATAAATATTTTTTTTTATTTTTTAAAAATAAAAACATTGATTTTTAAAATTTATATTTTATAAATAAAATTTCAAATATCTTTTCACAATTTTTTTTATATGTTTATCTATTAGCATAAGTAATATCATGATAATATTTTTTGAAATATAAATATTTTTTAGCGAAAGAATTTATTACTCAATTAATTATATAATAATGAAATTCTTGTTTCCATTGAAAAAAATTTTAAAATCTTATGCAAATAATTAATAATTGAATAATAATAGAACAAGAATTTTTATCATATTATTAATTTTTGCGAACTATAATTAATTGCAAATATAGTTTTTCTGCATAATAAATAAGAATTATATATTATATTAATTATTAATGAAATAAAATAATTTTCAGGAAATCGACGGAAAAGCTTTGTTACTTTTAAATTCTGATATGATGATGAAGTATATGGGATTAAAACTTGGACCAGCACTTAAAATATGCAATTTGGTAAATCGTATTAAAGGCAGAAGGCATATACTTCTGTGACTTTATCAATCTATGTACAGTGAGTTAAATTGACATATTACTTAAACAGGCTGGTCAAGTTTGTTTT